ATGCCCCCATAATGACTTCCAACTAACTGTCTCCTGAATTTTCCTCTTGTGCCACCACAGGGTGCATGGTGTATCTCAGTTGCTGCAGGATACATTTTAGTACATCCATTTGCAACCCCTTTAGAGCTAAACTGGTCATCACCTGATCAGGTACCACCACGCCTGTCGATTTTTTGTTTTTAGCAAGCCTCAACTGGATAAGCAGACAAACATGGATGGATTGATTTCCTGTGGTCCTCTGCAAGAAGCAGGTCAAAGTTTCACTCTCAACACCTGCGAGGTTAAACTTTGTCACGATTCTCAGACTTTGATGTCTTTTTTGATGACTTTCACCCACCACCGCGAGGCTCACATTTGTCAAATGAAACGACCTGATAACTGCTGCACGGACTGTTACTTCATGTAATGCAAACATATATGGGCGCCTTGGGAAGAAATGTAATTATGTTAGTGACACCATAACATTTTCTTTAGTTTCGGCTCCACTTTAGGACAAAATACTTTTAAAGATTACATAAATAGTCCATAAATGACATCAGCCCAGATCTGAATTAACAGATATTTGTTGGAGATGAGGAATTATTTACTGAAATGGATTCTTTCTGATAATGCAGAAAAAAGTGGAAGTAGCACTTTAGCTTTTACAGTCAATACCGTGTACAAAACACATTATTGTGTGTTTGTGTTTTTTAAAAAAAGATTATTCTAATGAAAGAAAATAGTGTGAAGATAATATATGTAAGTCTAATTCCTCAACTCTTTATTTTGAAAGTGCTTACCCTTGATAAGATTTGATACAGAGTGTTGGTAAGGGCGATTGGTGAATGTCTTTTTATTTGATTTGTTCATTTGCTGCAGTTTGTTCAGTGATACTATGCTGCTGAAGCAGTGCACAAGACAAAAAACGATACCTGCTTTGGAGAATGAAGGCTTTAGCATGCTGATTCTGGCATTTAGCTTAAAGCACTGCCGTCCATGCCTCGCACACTGGACAGGATAGCGGTGTCTATTCATAGATTCTGAGCAAAGACATCTTTATATTATGAGAGCAAATGTTGAACTTTTGACAAACTAAAGTGCCCCAAGATTCAAGAAAGAAATATTTTACGGACCGGTCTTTAAGGTGTTGCGTATAAATACAACAAAATAAAACCAGTACCGGTACCAAAAAAAAGAAGATTTATTCATAACACATGTGAAAAGACCCAGGGAAACCAGGTTAATGATAAAAACGATGAAACATAACGCTAAAAACTGCTAAAAACCCTGAAAACCATAAATTTCACACTCGAGCCTCAACTCTCGCGGCCCGGTACCAAGCAACTCACAGACCAGTACCGCTCAGTTGGCCCGGGGGTTGGGGACAGCTGCTTTAAAACACTATAGCTTCCTAGTAACAACAGAGATATGAAAATGCAGTATTAAGAATTGATGCTCATCCTGCTGTCCACACATATGTTTTGTTCCAGATGTTCCAGTCTTCCTTCAGGTTTCTGTGATTAGGTTTAGGGCTTCTTTAATGTTCACCCCTTTTTATTGGAACTCCTACAAACTTTTAACAGAAAACTATAACAACAAGATGAATGAAATTTCATTTGAAATCATTTCCTGTCCTATGTGTCAGCCCTGTGACTAACTGGTGACCTGCTCAGACCTCTCGTTCCACGACAGCGTCGCTTGTGTAACGTGTTATGGTAGTGCATTGCTTCAAATTGTGCGACAGCCTTATCTCCTTTGCTTTGATACAGAAGAGGTCCCTCTTAATAAAGGAGTTTTAATTCAGAGAATTCAACCAGCTCCTCATATGGTTTCCTCACAGATACTTCCGGTTCACTTCTCTCATTTACTAGAAAACGTCCCAAGTAAAACAAGCCATTCAAACTCAATCCAAGTGTCCTGCTATTGAGGTCACATGTGCTGTGAAAGTAAAGAAAAAAACTAGCCTTTTACAATAAAATGTTTTTTAAAAAGAAGAAGAATATTACAGTTGGACAAAATAAGACATTATTTATGTTTCACGTTTGACCCTGATGTGACCCTGAAGAGTAAGCTAGGCTTGCAAATGATAACACAAATGTCTGATTCAATGGAACAGACACTTTCCCTGAGTAATCAACATGTGCTTTGCGCTCGTACCTGTCACAGACTGTGCTGTCAGGTTCATGTGCAAATGATCACACACTGCTGCGGTCTGATAACAGCACTTCAAGTTTCAATTCAATTAAAGGCAAATGGGGTTGAAAGTCAGCATTTGCCTTTAAAATCTGTCTCCTTATCACGATTCTGTACAGTGCATTCTGCATGCACCCATATTTGTAATGTTAATGTCAGCATTGTTCGCATTGTCTCTCCGGCGATCACTGTGTCCTGTCCTGTCATCACTGTGTGTGCTGCCACGAGTGATGCCAGTAACAAGCAAGCAATCGACCAGTTTCATCACACAGGAAAGACTCCTCTGTACATTCCAGCTACAGCACACACACACACACACACACACACACACACACACACACACACACACACGGATTTCTCTACCTGCGGTGGCTCAGAGGAAGCAAGAATGTCCATTTACACACAAAGACACGCACACATACACACAGGCACATGCACACACAAACAGTCAGCAGGAAGAGTCGAGGTCAGTTCCTGTTTTTGTACCTTTTTCGAGTTCTACATTACTGTAAACCTCACACGGCTTAATCGTCAGTTTCCTCTGCTAATAATGACTGATTAACAAACAGCCCAATGGAAAGTTCAGCAAGGACACAGCTTTATGTAACCGATGGTCAGCGACTGCTGACCTTCTCTCCCTACTCAGCAGTTACTATCAGCATCGCAGGAGCCGGAAAGCTTGCTCTCACTCACAACATTCGAGTGGGAAATTCATTACACCATTTTATTCTGTTCCGGAAAATAAGCAGAGAGGAATTAAAGGTGTTTGAGATGAAATGATTTCTAAATTTTGTTTCAAGAGATAAACCGCTCTACGATGAGTATCGAAGGGTTTTGTCTTTTGTGTTAAGATAAGATAAGATAAAACTTTATTAATCCCTCGGGTGGGTTCCTCTGGGAAATTCGGTTTCCAAAAGCACAGCACCGACAGAAGTTACAGAACGTGAGCAGAATATTATATATATACACATCTATAAATACAGAGACATATATAAATAAAATATACGAAAGGGATAAATGGGAATAAGAATACAAGGGAATTGCACATTTCAAGTATTGAAGTCTATTGCACTGTTGACTATTAACAAAAAGTATTGCACAAGAAGTATTGCACAGTGAAGCGAAGAGAAAAGGCCCTACAGCTTAGTTGTTCCCCCCTCCTTTGTCCTCCTGTTTCTCCTCCAGAGAGGAGTTAAACAGTTTGATGGCGTGTGGGACAAAGGAGTTTTTAAGTCTGTTGTGGGTACTGTTGGAATCGTTACTCAGAAAACTAATGATTACACATTATTCTGCACTTTACTTCAAAGTAATGCAGTAAATTAACCATTTTCAATCCCTCAGTGGAGAAAACAATTTGTTACACTTATCGTGATTCTTTAAATCACTCTGGGGTTTTGGCTAGCTTTGCGTTAGCATACCGTAATCATGTAACTGTATTGTAATTACTGATTTTAGCACAGTAATGTGTCATATTTCTACATTATTAAAAATATAATGTGATTACAGTAACATGTTACATCCAGTACTGGTTTTAGGTTGGTTTTTCTAGTCAACAAAGGCCTGTATTAGTAAGAAGGATTTGTAAATTCAGGTTTTCAGGCTCATACAGGTGGTTGGCTTCGTACTGTGGGCCTAACTACCAGGTGCTGAAAAATACAATAAAAATTGACCTTTCTCTATTGGCTGGCTTCAAAACATGAATGTTTTTCTGGTGTGTTGGCTTTAACTCATAGGTAGATGCTGACACAGTCAGGTGTGTTAGCAGCCCTCACTTGTGGTTTTGTTGAGAGAAAATTCGTTTTAGTTTGTTAGCTAGCATTAATTAGCACATACCTGTGTCTGTGGTGTGCATGCAACCAAATGTAATAATATTAGCTGACAACTGATGAACTTACCATCATCTTCAAAATCCTCCTTTTAAGGGCCAAAAACCCCAGCAAAGTTACATCTTTTTCAACGTTTTCCCACATTCTTAGCATCTTAGATGAAAATTTATTACGTTTTATTTTTCCTGCTAACTGCAGAGTTAAAAAAAACAAACATTTCGATGACAAGATTTGCAAGTAAGCCTAATCAACAGTTTTTCAATTTATTGGTTTGGTGTTTTTTCTTTAAATTTAAAGACAATTTACCAACAACATGGTTGCAGCTAAAATAGTCATTAAGAATGACTTTAGCTACATCTAGAAAAGTCAATAAGCCTATTAAGTTGCACAGTTTTTAGTCACGCCACCGACTCACTACCTTTGTGGGAAAATCATTACTCCATTGTGTCGGCCAGTAGTGGACAGTTGGTGGTATTGCAGGATGGAGGTATTGTTTTTTTTCACCTGTCTCAAGCAAAGACTCTGTGGATGTTCTATCCATGGATGAAAAATGCAGATATGAAAATAATTTAAAAATTTTCGGAAATTCATATTCTGCCCTGGGTTTATTTAAAAGTTGCAAGGTCTCTCCCAGAGCTTCAATTTAGTGATACCTATTGGTATCTTGTAAAGAATCCCTCATGTAGCACAGCTAAAGGATGAAAGCTTTCAAAGTACAGACGTTAAAGCAACGTGAAGGGCTACATAGCTATCTTAAACAAACTCTTAGTTTTGTTGACTTGGTTGATGGTGTACGGGCACAAGATTTCTGCTAGTATTAATTTGAAACATTAATGTAATGTTGTCTTTAAATAAGCGTTGTTTAGTGCATCTGATAGCACAGCAACTATCTGGTGTGTTGGCTAAAGGCTGGAGGACAAAGGACAACAGTGCTGTTTTTGGCCATCGGCAACCAGTGTGTGAATGTGTGCGTGAATGGGTGGATGGATGACTGGATATGTAAAGCGCTTTGGGGTCCTTAGGGACTAGTAAAGCGCTATACAAATACAGGCCATTTACCATTTTACCATTTTACTACTTGCAGCATCTGACGACACGTGAAAATTGGGAAATATTTTTAAATGCTCATTTTTGAGGATTGCAGCAATAAAGTAAGTCTATTCTGTGATACTAAATTACATGTTTATAAATAAACTCTTCCTTTTAACTGGTTTATTTTTTAAATACCAGGACACACTTTTAGCTTTTCAACTAGGTCACTATTTCCCCTATGCTGGTCAGGTACTGTGTTCAGTGATCGGTAATAGCCTTTTATTTGTGCTAGCTCTGAAGATTCCACAGAATCAATGGAGTGCAGAGGAGGAGTTGTTCCGATTATGAAGACATCAGTACTCAGTGTAGATGATACCTTTGCTGCTGAGGCAAGCTTTTTTCTTCTTTATTGCTTTAAGAAATCATTCCACACATCGGGAAATGAGCCTGCTTATATTCTTTCCAAGCAGTAGATGAGAAAATCAATACTGCTGTTATATCTGTTCTTTACACCAGGAAGACACTGCACATTCTTATTGATCCCTTATGCCACGTTAACGAAAAGCCTTTAAGCGTGGCCACATTGCACAGATGATTGTGGCATTTTTGTCCCAATAGTATGGGCGCGTTAATGCATATTGTCATATCTATGTGTATCAGTGCTACATACAGTTAAACATACATACAGCCAGAGGTGTGGATTCGAGTCACATGACTTGGACTCGAGTCAGACTCGAGTCATTAATTTTATGACTTTAGACTTGACTTGAAATAATGTTCTAAGACTTGTGACTTGACTTGGACTTTTACACCAATGACTTGGGACTTGAATTGGACTTGAACCGGTTTACTTGAAAAGACGTGATATTTCACCCCAAATATAAAATTTAACATGCATATTATATAGAGATTGAAAATGTGACGTCATTCACGGGTAGAACCGCAAAGGATTCTGGGAACTCGTGGCAAGCGGTACTAGCGCACGCAGGCTTTCAATTGAAACCAGTCACACAGCGATAAAAAGAAACACAAAAATGTCAAGAAGCTGTTGTGTTATTAACTGCAATAGCTGGTCGCATGACAGCCACGGGAAGCCGACGGGTAAAGAGATCGGTTGTTATCGGATTATGTCGTTGAAGAGAAATTGTTCGAGCCATGTTTCCGAAGTAACAAAGATGCGACTGGATTGCAGTCATTCAAAGACCAATTATAACGTCCCAGAACCCTCCAGCTCACAGGTTAGTCTGCTCCAAGCATTTCCACAAAGGTCAGTCTGCTGTTGTAGTTAATGCGTCATTTTTCTTAACATAATTGGTGATATAGGTTACAAGCAAGTCTGGCGCTGAACAGAAATTGTCTCGCTATGCTCCTTTGTTTATTGTGCATAAATAGTAAATTGTCCTGACAGAATATTGTGTTTCGCTTCTGTTATTATGGTACATTGACAAAAACATATACTTTTATTCACAGGGTAAAACAGTTGTTTTGTATCACTAATTGTCCAGTGCGATTACAGCATACAATATTATTGTCACTGCTACATTTCTGTGATGCTACCAGAAATTATTTCCACTGCTAATTAACTACCGTTGAGCTCAAAGGTCCTATTAATAAACGGTTAACGAATGTGTATTTATGACGACGATTTGTGAGACTGGTAAACTTATGATACGTACGATGGTCTTTACTTTCTACACGGTGCATTTCAAGGTCCTGCACCCATCCGTCGGTAAACTGTACCTGGGCTTGTTGCAGTGACCAGAAGTTACTAAACTTCATGAGTGTATGCACTCACTCCAAGAAGCGTATAATTATAAATATGCATATAAATATGCTACGATGAGATAGCTGACTTCATCTAACTAGCAAATGTTTTCCAGGCTACGTTGGTGATGCAGTTTTTTTTTTAATTATATATTTTTTAAAAATATCATTTATTTATGTATGATATTTTTGTCATGCGATTTTAAAGCCGGTCCTACAAGCGCATCCAAGAATAACATGCAGCTTATCTCAGAACTGTCGGTGAAAATTATTCTTGGAGCTAGGTTTAATTGAGCTGCATTTTAAAGAGGTGCAATTTCACAATTTGTGTATATTTTCTAAGTTCACTATTTTGTCATGTGTTGAGAAAAACACAGATTTAAAAATTACATGGTCTAATATTTACATTTAGCATATAACTGCAACATCCTTTTTTCGTTTTTTTTAAAGACTCGAAAGGACTTGAAATTCAAAATTTCAGACTTGTGACTTTACTTGGACTTTTACACCAGTGACTTGAGACTCGACTCTGACTTGCCTGACATTACTTGAGACTTGACTTGAGACTTGAGGATAAAGACTTGAGACTTACTTGAGACTTGCAAAACAATGACTTGGTCCCACCTCTGCATACAGCCATTAAAAACTGAAGTTTTCACCGGAATCTCTGCAGTCGTGTGGAAAAATAAATACACCCTATGATATATTAGCTTATGTAATGACCTTTAACAGCGGTAACTTAAAGTGCAATGCAACGTGCTCAGGTGTTATAGCTTATCACCCCTTCTGCACCATGCTTGACAGTTGGTTTCCGGGTTTTTTATGATGTGCTGTATTTGGTTCTGTTAAATGTGGTACTATGTATTGTAGCAATACATGTCCACTTTGGCTTCATCTGTTCAGAGGACACGTTTACAGATTCCTTAGATGCAAGTTTGCCGACACCATGCTGCCATTTTCTTTTTGAAGAGAAGAGACTCCCATGGCAGCTCTTCCAAACTAGCCACACTTGTTCAGTCTTTTTCTAATTGTACTGTCACGAACATCAACATTTAACACGCTAGTTGAGGCGTGTAGAGTCTCAGATGTAGCTTCAGACCAGCAAACTGCCAAAACGTCTGCTTTTCTACAGGTGCTCACGTTTGCTGATGATCAGTTAATGCTGCAGTTTTTGATAAGCTTTGTGTTTAATGGCTGTATGTTGAAGAAAGTGAAACTGTGCATTGTGGTGTACAGAGGACCAAAACCAAATAATATTTATACAAGCATTCCAGTTTCATTATGCTGAGAATAATGTTTTGCTATTGTCTGTATTGTTGCTACAAATAAATGTTGCACGTGTTTAATTCTTCCACAAAGTTCGGTTGTTGAAGCAGTGCATTGATTTTGAATGCAGACTTGTTTTGTTCCTTAATTAGGATTATTTTGTCATTTTCATCTATAGTTTCTCAACGGAATCTTTTTTTTTCCGATAAAACAAACAAATGACCAACACAAAAGGGAAGGATTACATTCCTGCCTTGTGTTTCCCTCCAATCCTTCGAGGTATTATGATACACTAAGCAGTATCACAGTAAAACCCTTTTTATTGCCCCTGCACCTCTTTCACACTGTTAATCATTAATCCTTGAAGTATCAGTCATCAGCAGTTGACAGTCCATAACGACGCGTTTAAGAAAATGAAGCGTGTTGTCTTGGCTTCCGAGGAGCTTATCTGTAAATAAGCATCAGACACCCTGCACTGCAGCCAGCACGAGCAGGCAGAAGTTTGAGCGTTGCCACATCAGTGTTCTTTATTAGTTTTTTCAGGAATGAGGAAGTGAGTGAGGCAGCATCTTTACGGGAAGACAGCCAGTGTGAGAGGGAGGGGCGGATGGGAATGCACGTGGGCAGGGAGGTTATGACAAATATTTGTTAAGACAGACAGGAAGAGCTGGATGAGAAGAAGGCAAAGTGCAAAGGTGGAAAACTTTAATTACATTTGAGGCTGGATAATCTCATTTCTCATCTTACTCACACTGCGGTTGGTTTGTTGTGTACCCGCCCTGCCTGTGTTACTACTTGCAATGTCTTGGCAAACCGGTGGTTGTTGTGAAAGGAGTCTTATTTGGCAAAGGGATGGCTTATTCAAAGAGGGAATTATTATAGCTGGGGGTGATCATACATTCTGTTCCCTTTCACAATGCCATTAAAAAACGATGTGTTCTACTTGGCAAGCACTGCAGCACACAGAATACACAATGTGAAGCTGATCACAGATCACTGACATGTATGTGTTTGCCTTATTGATCTGTGTGTGTCTCCTCACCCTTTGCCCAACTTCCAAACTGCCTGCTGACAGAGCGGGAAAGCAGGCTGACCTTTCCTTAACGGACGTGGCACCAACCAGCACAATGTGTAATGCTGTGAGTCAGTTGGAGAGGAATGTGGCACTCCCCTAGAATCTCCTGTAAACATCACACAGGTTCTCACAGAGTGATAGACAGCTAAGAGGGGTGTTTAGGGAAGACTGACAGGAGCTGATACCACTCACCCATATTTCCTTTCATGTTGTTACATATGAAACAACCACAAAAGTATGTTTTAGCAGAAATATTAAAATGCAATTGGAGAAAATAAGTCATGTTTATCTCATAAACCAGCCAGTACACCCACACAATACATGTCAGAACCTCGCAACATGTACTTGTTCACACCATCGATGTCACAAAAATATTCAGTGATTGTTAATGTTCAGCCCCTCAGATTCTAAACCAAAAACACGAATATATTTCAACCTTTTTCTCCCACAAAAAAGTATGAACACATGCATATTTTACCACACTCATTTATGCTATGAGTAGGACCTAGTATTTAATATTTAATTCTCTTTATACATCTGGGCCATCCTGAAGAAGTTAATGCTAACCTTTGTAGCAGAAGTAGCTCACAGACTTTGCAAACAACCATGCTAACATTTTAGGCTAAAAACACTGAATACTTGTTTAAGAGCAAAGTAAAGGCTTGCCCTGTCAAGCGGCTTTATTGTCATTTCAACCATGTGCAGTGGTACAGTCCACAGAGAAACAAGACAATGTTCCTCCAAGACCACGGTGCTATGTATAACATATAACAACACATGACTACGTGAAATGCAAGTGTGCATAAATTGCAAAAAAGAAACAAAAACAAAGACAGTGCAACACCAGACAGAACAGAACCATACAGACACAAGAGAGTGCAGACACAACAGTGTAATAGAAAAGTGAACAATAACAGTGAGTTGTGCAAAATACTGAGAATTAAGCAAAACTTGATGTATGAAGGTGTGCAAGTGTGTGTGTGTGTGTGAGAGATTCTACAGGTAAGTGTTTGA